AAATGTTACACTACTAACACAGAGCACATTTCAGCCATATATTCAGCTGACTAACACACGTATCACAGAACAAATACACTTCTACTTTAATGAATATAGCTACACAGACAAGCTAATGCAGGTAAGAGCTCATGTTTCACTATCACTGTCCACGGTTAGGATTCAAGTCTATTTTCTTCTGTTTTATGCATGTACAGTCACGGCAAAAATACAGGTGATGCCACTGTAGTACAGCTGCTAAACACAACCTGTGTATACACAGATGGAGGACACAAGCTGCTGACATACTACTATCACTACAAACCAGAACAGACAGGGTATAAGGGCAGATCTGAAATGATTAGTCAATGAATCTGCTAGTCATCTATTGTAACAATTGGTTAAATGAGTCACTTTTTAAGCAAGGATACCAAGTATGCTGGTACCAGCTTCTAAAATGTGCATACTTTCTGATTTTCTCTGATTTAAATCACAGCAATCTTTGGACTTTGGACTACTGGCCGGAACAAAAAAAACATTTTAACCCTGTCAACTTGGGTGGAGAATTGGGCATTGTTCACAATTTCATGACATTTTAGACTAAACAATCAACTGAAAAAAACAGCACACTAGCTTGAACCAAAAACAATTGTTAGTTGCACCTAGATGTACAGTTATAAGAGCAAAATATGACCACTTTTCTTGGTCAATAAATAAAAAGACTGGCTGTGTAAAAATTGGAAACATCACATGTAGGGCTGGGTATCATTTCAGATCTTTAAATACTCATGAATATACTTTTTGATATAATATGTTATTTTGTCCACAAATGCTCTTTCATTGTACAATTATTAAGGATCCCAAACATTTGATCCCCAACTGTCAGTACCCAACAGTTGCCATTAATCAGGGGAATAGACACATTTCAGACAGATTTAATGCCAAAAAAGTAGGATACTGAGGTGCGACAACCAGTCCTAAATACAGGACCAGGCTTTACTGAGCCTAGTATTGATGTAGCAGCAGCAGCTGCATAAAGTCCATCCCCATCATTATCAACAATGGTGTCATTCTCTGTCATGAGTGCTACATACCCTCTTACATGTGGCCCCAGCTATATATATATATATATATATATAGAATTAACATGATACACAGGTAGCTGACAAATGTGTGTTGCATGTGGTAAGACTATTTAGCTGTCAGAATGAATGTGACCTACAAATGAGCAGGCCATGGTTGTGGTCACTGGTGGTTGAGCTTCCAGATGAATGTAGTGGAGTAAAAACTACATTCTTTCTCTTGATGTAGTGGCACAAAAGTAGCACTGCATGAAAAGAAAATACTCAAGTAATGTACAAGTACCTCAAAACTGCAGTACGGAGCTGCATCACTGCAGTGCACACAGATCTAGATGCTAACTGGCTGTTAAACCGATGCATGCAGCAAGAAAACATGAAAATAATTTTACAAACATTAACCTCGACACATGGACGCTGACTGACGGAACTGTCAAACACAGGACCGCCCCACCTTACTAATGTTATCACGAAGTAAACACACATTACCTCGTTAGCTTTAGCACAGCTTATGTCATGCGCTGTCATAACAGTGTGGCTTACTAACAACATTACCTGTAGCGGCAGGTGTGGTGATATTCCCGTGCACCTGCTGTTCATAAACCGCTAGAGATTAGTTGTTTTTTTTTTTGTTGTTGTTGTTGTTCCCCCCGCCTTCTCCTCGGGGTGAACAACGTTAAGCTACGCGGGACTGCAAACTAAACCGTGAAGTGCTGCTCGTCACCCGTCGCTGTCAACGTTAATTTACCAGTCGGAGCAGAAATAATCGTTTATGGCATCAAACGGGTTTCCGAGACGGTACCGCAGCCAACGGTTGGTTTGACTTTCAGGAAAGCTCGTGACGTCACCAGGAGAAACGGCAACCCCCTTTCGCTCATGCGCGCGTGCACTCACACACGCACCCTACCGCCTTGTCCTCCCGTTTTCAGTTTTAACGGTTTCAGCTCGGCCTCTCCTCCACCGTGGAGCACATCATCCCATTCCAACATCTCGTATGCCCTTGTTGGCTAAGAAGCCAACCATCGCGAGATTCAGGTGTTTACTTGTGAGATTATGCGGTGGAAGTTGTGGACAGCAGCGATGGTCTACGGAAATAGGCTACTCCGTTACAAGTGACTGTTTATATTTTTATCAGAACAATGTATCACACCCCGTCACCTTAGGAAGCCTTTCGTAAATTTCATCTTATTTTTATCCTTCAAGCCCACAACTTCACTGTTTTGGTTCACTTCGCACTGTCAAGTATTATTAAGTTTGACATGTGATTAATCATTTAAGTCTTTTTCAAAGGGAAAATATCAAAAATTCACTTGTCGCATCTTGTCGAATGTGACTATATGATGACAGCCTACTTTTTCAAATTTCTCTACAATAAAACATTTTACAGACTGATCAATCAATTGCTTATTAAGGATAATAGCTGTCAAACCTATGACAATAAAAGTATTATTGGCTGCAGCTTTCTCCTTCATTTTCTTATGATGGAATGATCCTATCAATTTTTGATTAATGCATTTATTTACTCCTAAATGATACAGGTTAAACTTGGGCCTTTGGGGCTCATAGAGTCTGTGTAAGTATTATATATAAATACAATTGAGAGGTATTGTTCTTTATTTGAGTTACTTTACATTTTCTGCTATATAATGCTTCTACTCCACTACATTTAAGAGTGAAATATTCTAGTTTTTACTTGACTACACTCACTGTAACTGAATGCTATAGTTACCAGTTATTTACAGATAGCCTATATAGATAACATAACCTAATGGGGTTTTAAATTACAGTGCATTGTAAAAAAAAAACAAAAAAAAAACAATAAAGCAGTGGTTCCCAACAGTTTCGGCTCGCCTTAAAAAAAAACTGTTTTCACACACTGAACTTCTCATCTAACCTCCAGGTGTAAAATTGGTGTTTCCCCTTAGGAGGTTAACAGAATATGACTTTCCAGTAAATGGCTCATTTAGTATAATCAGCAGTAGGTATGAAATGATACCTATTACTGTATGTGTTAGTCACAGTGAGCCACAATTATTATTGTGAACTTCTTTTAGTTTGCTTTTTGTCTTTTTCCTCAGTTTCTCCTGTAGTTGTTTACATATTTCTAAGTCTGACCTTGTGGTTTCATAGCAACTCAGCATAAAGTTATCTAAGTCAGTAGCGTCAGCAGTTCCTACAGCCTCCTAACATTTGTACATGTCAACATTTTAAATGCTCTTTACAACCGGAAAGATCAGACAGCTGCACAACATATGACTGAAACCTCTGCTCAACAGCTGATCAGTCTAGTGTAAACCAAATTGTTCAGTTGATATTTAAGGCTCAGATTGTTGACATAATACATTCTTTGAATTCCTGTGCAGGTCAGTTCAAGCCAGCAGGGTCAGCCGTGCTGTTATAATACTTTAATGTTAGGTCTGATGAGTCTGACATGGTGGGCATCCTAGCACCATTCAGAAGCCATCCTACAAAATGTTTGCTTCATCCCAATAAATCTCTCTTCTCATTTTACACTTAAAAGTATTAAATGAATAATATGCTAATATTATAAATTTGAGAATGCTATATTAATATCAATTTAAAAGTAGAATATAATATGTTGACATTCTGGCACAGTAATGCCCTCTCTCATCTGTTCTCTCTTCTCTGTCTGTCTCCCCAGATGGTGTGGCGTGTGAACCTGGGCTGCAGAGTGTAGGTATGGGGCCTTGGCTGGGCTCAGTGTGCAGACACAGGTGGACCTAGTATCAGATAATTTATGTGTGTAATGTCTTGGCCTCTCTTAACACACACACATATTGCCATCAGCTGGCCTTTTGCTCACAGCCCTGTGTGCAGAGGGGACGCTGCAAAAACCAGCAGCCCAGGACGGTGTGGGTGGGTGTGTTTGTGCGAGTGTGTGTTTGTGCAGGGGATGCGGTGGAGGCAGGGGTAAAGAGACAGCTAGAAAATATAAAAAGGGCAACACTGGGGACACCTTCTGTTGCCATTGCTGTGGCCAGACCTGTCCCTGTGACATAGCTTTATGCAAAAAACTCACTCACCAACTTTAACTCACATATAACATGTTCTTCCTGCGCTGGAACATAATGTTTATTTTATTAGAAATTATGTTAAATTTGTTTGTCATCTTAGTTTAGCATGTTAGCATTCATATTTGCTAATTCGCCCTAAACACAGAATACAGCTGATGAACTGGGTTGTTGTTAGTTTTGCAAGTATTTGTCAAAAACCAAAGTATTTATGCATTTGGAGGTCAGTCCAGATTGAACAGCACAAACACACTTGCCTGTAACAACATCCTGTCTCTGACTGCTGCCATGTTTGAGTCTTCCTTCACCCTCTACAACACACCCAAACCTTCTCCGCTGCTCCACTCTTTTCTTCCACCTCCCTAACCTTAATGTCAACCTCAGCTCCCCAGTTCCCAAAACCCAGGAATGCAGCAGCCCTGCTGGCCAGCCCGGCATCCCGTGCCCCTTCAGCTCATCCCTGGTCTCTTTGAAGTGGCTTCAGGAGAGAGAGGTCAGCCTTGCCCTGGAGACCCCCATAGAGGTAGGGACAGCTGCGGTCAGACAAACCCTCTGCAGGGGATACGGGCTCAAATGCATAAACACATATGCCAAAATGAGATGGGACAGAGCAGCTGCAGCCACAGTGTTGAAGGTGTGTTGAACAGCAGAACAGTTTGGGAGCCAGGATGGTCCAGCATGGCCCTTCTCTACTATGTTCTATTCTGGGTCACCTATTTTTCACTCAGGTGTGAAATATAGTCTGCTGAGTATGAGATCTGAGCACATAAAATGTATGTTATTGTTGCTCCAGATTACATGTTGTGTCATGAGAGAAAGAATGTAGAATATATATAACGTTTCTAATTTGAAGTTACTTTACCACTGAAACATCATAACAAGCATTGTGAATGTATGATAGTAAAGAAAGATTATACTGCATCTCACTGATAGAGTGGCATCACTTAATTACCTGAAACATCACCGTTTTGTGTTATATTTACTTTGTTCTGAAAATAATTCAACATTTTTGCTCATATTTTCTTATGTGCCAACATTTGTTCACACAACAATTTTAGATGATCTCACAGTAACCCCAGAATAGTAACTCCACAAACTATACCTTCACAAATTTATTCTATGCCTCTCTGAGACTCTGTTAATAAAGTGAATAATACAGCTACACTGCACCTCAACACCAGCTTCCAGAAGGCTTTTGTATCTGATTGCACCACACTGTAGAATATTCCTGGGATTTTGTTCTTGTCTAGTATGTGATGATGATAGAACACTTCACCACATTTCACAGTGTGTTTACTGTTGGAAAGTGAGAGTGTGAAGATGAGATTAGTTTTGTAAGTTAGAGTGAACATGTGTGTAGGTGTTTATGCATACATACCTACAATAGTTTGTTTGCTAGCCTGCTTATGGGCAGTGTGTGTGTGTTTATGTGAATACCTTCTGCTCACATAGATAAGTTGCACTTGCCCAAAAACACCCTGTCCCCCGACTATCTATCAAGCACACACAAAACACACACTAACATGGTCCTGTATACCCAGCCTCCTCTTACACACCCCCAGGCTGGAGCAGTCCAATTTCTCACATTTCTCTGCAGGGTCCAGCTGCTCTGCCCTAAAGTGAAAACTTTGTGACCACACAAGTAGAACTAGGCTTTGTATAACTTTACAAGAAGTAATACTGCAATAACCTCTTCATTAAAGTGATAACTGACAATTAAAAGTGTTACCAAAAGGCAGTGACAGCTAACAACAGAGCAATCAGTGTTAAAACAACAGTGAAATGTAAAGTATGTGGTGTTACTGCATTGCATTTTGTTTCCACAGCATCCTATCCTGCCTACTTTTGGTCATTTACAGCTCCTATTATACAAATTTCACTTCTTAATTATTATAATTATGCATTCATTTGGTTTAGGCTATAAAACATTGGGAAATATATTCAACAAAATAAAGTCAAAAGTGAATATTAAAGGCCTTTTATTGCTTCAAAATATTGATTACATGTTCTGATTGATTCTAAACTCTTCAATGATAACCCAAGATAACATTAGTTTATCAACACTGTCATGCTTTATTTCCAATATCTGAGATAGCACAGAGCAGGATTATTTATGAGTGAGGGTAAAAGCAATTATGTGATTGACCGCTGCTTAGTGGTGACTGCTGCATTAATGGGGGAGTCATTTTGTGCCATGGTGATAAAAAGAGCTGAGCCACAAAGCAAAGGCTCTTGATTTACAGCTCAGGTTTGTACTAACGCTTCCTAATGTGAAAAGCTCTTGTCAGTGGCTGAACAAACTGAGGTGTCTGTTGAGGTGGTTTGTCCACTTCGTTATGCTGTGTTGTATTATCTGAAAAATGTTTTGAGTGAATTTTAGATATGTGGGTCTCAGTGTTGGCGGACAGATGTTACCTGCATGAGGCAGTGGGAGCAGCCAGAAACTTCAGTGATATAAAACATCTCCAGGTTGTGTGACATGAACATGCGTGTGAATTCTTTATCTCTGTTACACCTGCACAGTTATGTTTCCATCACATTATATTGACTCGCATTCATTTCCTAGAGACTTACTCTCATTTTTTACCTAACCTTAACCTAACTTTAAGTTGTCACTAAAATGTATTGATTTACATTGTGCAGACATGGTTTTTGTCCACAAAAGGAAGGTGATTAACCGCAATGTGAGTGTGTAAACAGATTTATGTCCCCACAACATGAGTAACAAAAGTATGCAGTACACACATCCCCTCTTGCTGCTCTTCCAGCTGCATGCTGGATTTCCACTGGGTGCCATCAGTACAGATTCTGCTCAGCCGTCGAGTCAATGAAGCAGCAGGAGAATGATAGTGAGAGAGGGAGGGGAGAACTTCCATCTCATTTTGGTCCAGCAGTGGGCTGCCATTGCTGAGGTGTGACCTTGACATGTGGCTGAACACATACACTTACAAAATGGAGTGGAAATAAAATGTTCTCCTGAGCTACACTCACAATTAAAGGTTTTTAGGCAGTAAAAAATAAATTTGCCTTCTTTACCATATCTTACCCTCCCAGCAATAGAACATTTTAACCTCTAATTTAGTGCGTACTGTAGATGTTTAAGGACCTGAAGCCCGATTTTTTAAATTAGCTTCTTACTATATGCAAAAGGCTCATATACAAACATAATTTTCTGCCAAATTT